GAGCTGAGCTGCTCCAGCAGAGCCAAGCCTCCTGTCAGAACCTTCACCTGGTTCAGGATCACCACAGGTGGACCTGTTAAGGTTTCTGAGAAACAGGTTTATGGTTACAACACCACAGAAGGAGGAGAGTTTTATTGTGTGGCTGTAAATAATCTGGGTAACCAGACATCACCTGTGATTCATCTTAATGTTGAAGGTAAATATTCTCCTGCTCTCAGTCATTTTAATCCTTAAAATTAATTTTGTCTTTTTAATGTCTGCTTTGATTTTGTAAAAATATTTTTGTTTTTGTGTTTTATCAGTTAAATCTCTGTCCTGGACACAAATTATTGGAGGATTTATTGGGATCTTTTTACCGATTGTGTTTATTTTGTGAGTATTAAGACTAAATACAGCTAACAGGATCTATATGATTGTATCTGAAGGTATATTGGTAGCAATACTCAGTACTAAATCAAATCCATACACAGTACTTACTCAGATACCTATCAATTAACTACCCGTATACTTACAACAATATATACCTGGTACCTACAGGATAATTACTGGGTTTATTCCTGGTGCTTAGCAGGTACATGCTTCAATGTACATGTTTTGCAAGTACCATGTGTGTTTCAGATAAGTAACACTTATGTACCCAGTAGGTCTGTAAGTACTAATTATATATCGTAACCCAGTATGTGCCCAGTAAGTTCCAGGTACTTATTTATTTACCAATAACTACCAGGTACTTACCTGGTAAATATTGTGTAAGTACCAAGTATGTACATTTATGTTCCATAGGTACATTGTAACTACCAGGTACTTACCTGTTAAGAACTCTGTAAGTACCAAGTAATTACCATTTATGTACAATAGGTACCCTTTAACCAGGTACTACTTCTTAGGTATTCTGTAAGTACAAAGTATGTACCATTTATGTGCGCTAAAAGAATCCAGTATTTACCTATTAAGCATTATTTAAGTAACATGTATGTACTATTTATATATGTTAAATGTTGTGTACCTACCTGGCAGTAACCCTGTAAGAACCAGGTTGGTACCTAAAACRTACTGTTTTTACTCAAAATTTATATAAAAATTTATATACTCTGCAAGTACTTATTAGTACTTACTGAATACATTCTTAATACATTTTGGGTAGATACCAGGTACTCATCTAATAGATATCTGACATTTACAAGCTATGTACTAAGATATTCACATGGTATTTACTGGGTACATATCTGCTTCATACAGAGAACCCAAWAGTTGCATACCAGGTACATGTTGGATACTTCCTTGATACTTATAATAATATTATTACACTTGGAAAAAGGCCAGCTAAGTACCAGGTATGGAGCAGATAAATGCCCTTTAGTCAGTACCAGGTAAATATTTGGGTAATTACCAGACATCTGCCTGGTGCTTATAAGGAACATAGTACCAAGTACATAGTTATGGAAGCGTTTAAGTAACAAAACCCTAATTAAAATGGATTAATAAGTACTTGGCTGTATTATGTATAGCTGCTATTTTAGATTTGAAATCTGCTGAAATGAAACATAAATTGAATTAATTTTGATTTCTTGTGTTTTGCAGAACTGTCATGTTTCTGAGGAGGGAGAAGATGAAAAACACATTTAGAGGTCTGTCTGTACACCGTCTCCAGGTGAGAAAATACTGAACACAGTACGATTACTGAGCTGAAAGTAAAACACTGAACACAGTACTATTACTGAGCTGAAAGTAAAACACTGAACACAGTACAATTACTGAGCTGAAAATTTCTCCACGAGTTTAAAAAGTGAAGAAACAGGTCTATTCTTTAAAGAGCTGATGACACGGCTTAATTTAATGTAATTTTTGGGTTAAAATTGTACAACATGTTAAAATAAATGATTTGACTTCTGTTTTTTTTTTTTCACTCAACTTCCTGTTTGTTTACAGACTCAAATCGGCACAGAGAAAAGATATCAAACGTCCACAAAAGAAACGGTGGAAGAAGAAATTCATTACGGAGAATTARATTTCTCTAATCTGAGGATTAACCCGCCCTCCAGCAGCACACCTGAACAGGAGACGGTCTACGCCCGAGTTAAAGTGTCTGCAAATCCCTCGACGTCAGATCTCTACGCTCAAGTCAGGAGAAAAATGAACTCCTAATTTAGTTTTTCTGTTTCAGTTCTGCCTTTAAAATGTCTCAATGTGGGAARGTCAGTTTTCACACATTCAACAGCTGCTGGTTGATATTTTAAACCACTTTTATAAAGTAGCGTCAAAAAAGGGGAAATCTTTGTTCCTTTAAGACTCGCTGTGCTCACATTTAGTGGTTTTTCATTCAGGAAGTTACAAAATTATTAATAACTGACGTCGGTGTCCACTGAACCAAGTTTCTACTTCTTTTTTTTTTTTTCAGATGTAGACATTTCCTATTTAATTCAATTTTTAAAACTAATTCTTGATGTTCAAGAAATAAAATTGGACAATTAATGCAACGTTTCAAATCCCATCTCAACTTTGTGCCAAGACTGAGGTCAAACCTCCTGACTAAAGACGAGGGCGACGACGACTTGTTATCAGTGTAATGGCCTGCCTCTCTGATGGTATGGGGGTACATGGACGTCCTACACATCTGGAAAGGCTCCAGTATCTACATGTTTTAGGACATCTGCGCCCAACCAGCAGAAACAAACTTCTAGCAGGAATATAGAGTCAGTATGGCTTTTTAAACTATTCAAACAGGCTAAACTTATGTGTGAGTATATATAAAAACATATATAAAAACAGATATATTTTTATACATGTGTTTGTCATGCGTTAAAAGTGACAAACATACTAAAAGCTAAAATTCTGCATAGTACAAAGTTATGTTGGATATTTTTTCACAGTAAATATGAAAAAAAACTGTATTAGTCAATATAATTAAAGATAGTACTGCCAACAGACAGAAGGGGAACTGGAAGTTATAATAAATGTTGATAAATGATTAAAAAAATGTTTTTGAATAAATTAGTCTCATTTCAGGGCGTTTTGATAAAAAGAACCAACGAGTTATTTAGTGTAAAGTGTTTTTAATCAATATTTTAACAAAAAACTGCTGAGTCATGAGTTTCTTGTGTACTTTGTGCTGTTTTAATATATTAAAACGTTCAACTTTGTCCGTACTTTGTTGTGACGGTTGGGTTTTGTAACTTTTGTACTTTTTAAACTGTTTTAAACTATTAAACTTAAAAAATAAAATTCTCCCATTGAAATAAAAGCAGATCTCTTTGATTCGTTTGAAAGCTCTGAAGTACTTTCAGTTTTTAGCTAGTTTTAACTAGTGTTGCTATAATTAGCTTTTAGCTACCATTTTAGTAATTTTAGCTTTAAGCTACTGTTTTGTTCTTTTTAGGTGTTATCTCTACATTTTTAAAACTGAACAATGTTGCTACTTTTAGCTACCATTTTTTCTCTTTTTAGCTACTGACTAGTTTTTCTACCTTTACCTACTGCATTGCTACTTGGACGTATACAATTTTGCTAATTTCTTCCTTTTAGCAACTGAACTTCCATTTTCACCTACGGTATTGCTATAGCTTTTAGCTACCATTTTGGTTACTTTGTTTTAATTTGCTTTAACCTCTTTTGCTTCTTTCAGCACATAGTTGCTATTTTGATCAATCTACCTCAACATCTCATTTTTTAACTCATGTTAGCTTTTAGCTACAATTTTGCTATTTTACCTCTTAGCTATGTTTTTCTTTTTACCTTTCAGCTGTTATTTTGGAAGTTTTAGCTTTTGGTTGCCATTTTTTCTCCATTTAGCTGTTTTCAACTGTTCTATTAACCTGGCTTGCTACTTTGAGCATTTTACCATTTCATTCCTTTAACCTTTAGCTACCATTTTGTTCTTTTTAGCTACAAGCTAGTTTCTTAAAGCTGTAAAAAAAATGTAAATTGGGAGGTACAAATCCGTTTAAATTGGTCCTGATTCAGAACATTTTTACATTTAAATCCTTTTTTTCTTTTTTTAGGTGTTGATCTGATCAAAATGAAAAGCAAAAGAAAAAGGTCAATTATCTTTATTTTTTCATTCTTTAAAACAAACTGTGTGAAACAAAAAAATAAAAAGTTTAAAYCTTTAGATACAACACAGATTGTTTACATTAGTTACACACAATTATTACTTCACATAGTTACAAGTTTTTCAGGTTTGATGTCTTAAACCTCAAATTGAAGGAAAAAAATTAAAATATAAAAAGTTACCCAGTAAAGATTTCTCCCCCACATTCATGTCTTATTACAAACTTTAAAAGCAGCAGATTCATCCAAAGTGAAACAGATTAAAACATTTGTTTTATTAACTTTTGTTGATTTAATCTGATTTAATGATCCAAATTGACATCACCACAACTGAAGCATTTAACACAACTCTAAACTCAGAGGCTAAACGGTGATGAAGACGGGTTTTTAGAATAAAATTCTTATAAAGTGCCAAACAGTTATTTATTTATTTATTTATTTATTTATTTATTTATTTATTTGTGTTACTGACGTCCAATACGTCCCACAAACACCTTTAAGTGCCATTTTTCTTCTCGCTCGTTGCTGCCAAAGGTTTCCTAAGGAAAAGATTTCAGGAGATGAATTCCAGTCTTCATCTTTTAGACGCAGACCTGCAGGATTCACACGAAAACAAGAGACTTCAGTTCGTTCAAAAATGCGATAAAGGCTGATTTAAAAAGACAGAAAWAAAAATACCTGAAACAAGTCAGTGTGGAGGTTTTACATATCTGATTCTGCAGGGAGAGAGAAAATAAGTTAGGAATAATAAAAACATCTGGGTGATTTTAAATAATTAACGTATTTTTCGAACTATAAGCCGTGACTTTTTTCCTGAACTTTGAACCATGCGGCTTATAGTCCGGTGCGGCTTTTACGTGGATTTTTTTCTTTAGCCACCAGGGAGCTCTTAGGCTCCATTTTCTTCAACCACTCGCTTCAAAAGAAGAAGAAGAAAAAAAGTAAAAAGCGATCGCTTCCAGAGCTGACTGTTGTACCAGGAAGCAGCGATTTAAAGATAGTCAATGGCCAAAAACTCATAAAAGGGGATAAAACAGACATTTTTCATGGTGGAATCTGACTGATAAAAACTTTGGAGCTTAATCCAGGACCAGTTTGTGGATAAACAATGTCGAGCGAAGAGCCGCAGACTTTTTTCCCCGCATTGCACTACCCCGGGGAAGGAATCCCATGCAGTGACGTATGCTGGAGTGGGAGGGCTTTTCCAGCAGCTCGGCTCGGGGTTTCTCAGGAACTGTGAAAGGTCAGTGTGAAAACAAACGCCAAACAACCACGTGACGTCAACCGGTCGACTGCCGTGCGACTACCGAGCGACCATACTGCCAGCTCAAATCGTATCGTATCAAATCGTATAGTATCGTATCATATCATATCGAATCATATTGTATTGTATTGTATATCATTCTATTTGTGCTATGTAAGTTTAACACTTGTTATATTTCCAACAGGTCCAGGTGAAGAACCCAGACCTCCCTCTCCGCAGCAGTACTC